TTCGAAAAACTTGTGGATTTCTTGCTCTCATTTCAATAAATGAAACTTTTTTTTATTCCATTTTTTCCATTTGCAATTCAAGCATGGCTGCTTCGTAGGCTGTCATATTCTTTTTTATCTTTTTCGGTACTGGCTCAGGCGATGTCCTTTTTTTTTTTTTACGTGGGGGAAATCTTCAAAAGACACCCCAGCTCGCTGGAGGAGGGAGCCGGGGTATTGTGGGATTCTTACCCACTAAAACCCCCACGGTAACTCTCCCTTGGCTGCACAGGGGGGCCCCGGGATCTCATATGAACTCTACCAGGACGCCCCTACCCGTGCCTCGTGGCCCCTCTCTGTCCCCTTAGCGGGAGCCATCACATCTGGCGGCGTGATGGGGTCACTCCCCACGCCGCCCCCTCCACACAGGCTACGTGCCATGCCTGCAAAGTCCCCACTTCGCCGTCTGTGTCCTTCTCCAGGCGGGGGAGGGGCACGCCTTCTTCGGCGACCCCTCCCTCCCGCCCGGCCCCTCCCTAAGGGATCCGCTCGCTCGCGGTCCCTTTCGGCGGCCTCCTTCTGCGAGACAACCGTCTCACAGAAGCAGGCCACCGCATTCCATGCTCCCTCACCGCCCACCATCCTATTAACGACGGTGGGCAGCGAGAGGTCCTCCCCTATCACCCCGAGCAGGACACCGCGCTCCCTGCCGAAAGGCAGGGCACACCTCAAGGGTGTGTTGCGCAGTGTCCCGGTCGGCTCCGCAGTGATGGCAACATGCCATCTCCTCCCTACCAATTCGGTGCAGGTACTCACCGAAGCACCCATTCCCGGTGAGCACCTGCGTGAGGCGGAAGGATAACCTTCCCCAGCCGCGCCCCAGCCAACCATCCCAGTTGGTCAGGATCGCCCCGACAGTTCGATGGCTGGAGCTTTCCTCCAGCCCTCTCCTCCACTCGGCCAGAGTGTCCTGCCGGGCCTGGAGCCTAAGGGCTCTTATCTCCTGCTCTGGCAAGGGGTCACCTCCGGAACCTCCACAGCCCTCCCGTATTTTCCAATATACCCGCGCCTCCATCTTCGCTTGGAGGTCAAAGGGCATCACCCTCGCCAGCACCAACGCCGCCCTTGCGGAGATCGTGCGGTACCCTCTCACAATCCTCACGGCCAGTCGCCTCTGGACACCCTCAACCTTCGCCCAGCTGCGGCGACCAGCCGTGAGTTCTCCTGCCCATATTGGAGATCCATATAAAATCATGGACCGCACGACCCCGACATACAGGCGACGCACCTCCTCTCTGGGTCCGCCGAGATTGGGGAGCAGCCGCGCCATAACCGCCGCCGCCCCCTCTACCCGCGGCCCTAGCCCCTCAAAATGAGCCCTGAAGCTCCAATGGCTGTCCAGGGTGAGACCAAGGTACCTCATAGTTTCCCCGATCCCCACCTGAGCCTCCCCGATCCCGATCCGCGCCCCCCCAGGCGGCGGGCCGCTCCGCTTCCGATCGTGGCACTCCACATGGCCTCCGTCTTCTGCGGAGGAACCCGCAGACCAAGGGCGCGGATCGCCATGACAACACGTGCCACACCAATCTCCGCCAGCCGAACGGCCCTCTCCCACGAGGTTTCGCCGGCGAAGACCAGCGTGTCATCCGCGTAACACACGCCGACCGGCAGACCAACACGCAGCACCGCGTCGTATGCGAGCGCCCACAGAGTCGGCCCGAGCACCGACCCCTGCGGGACCCCACACACGACGTCCCTCGAGTGGGAGACCCCCTCCCCATCCCGGTACCCTATCGTCCTCCCTTGCAGGTAGGACCCGATCAACCTCCTAATATAGGGGGGCACCGCATGGTACTCCATGGCCCCCCTAATGGCCGCCCCGGGGAGGGTGCTAAAGGCGTTGACTATGTCAATACTGACAGCCCCCCCCCCCCCCCAGGAGGCAACCTCCCACGTGAGGTCCCGGACACGCCGGACAGCGTCCAGCGTCGACCGGCCTCCACGGAAGCCGTACTGCTCCGCAGAGAGATCCGGCCCCATCAGCTCCAAGTGCCCAACAAGGCGCGCCGCAATCACCCTCTCCAACAGCTTACCCGCCTCATCGAGCACACAGAGAGGACGATACGAGGAGGGACTCCCCGCCGGTCTGCCATCCTTGTGGAGGAGGACCATTCGGCCCCCCTTCCATCCACAGGGGAAGGCTCCCTTACTGAGGCAGCCATCAATTAGCCGCCTCATCCGGTCACCGATCACCCCGTGGGCTATCGCCCAGATTTTGCCAGGAATGCCGTCAGGGCCCGGCGCCACTCGACGAGCGCCAAGCCTTCTGACGGCATCCAGCCATTCCCGGTCCCCAAAGGGGGGGGAGGGAACCGGGTCAGGGTGTGTCGCCCCATACCCATCCCCCATCGCCCCGACGTCCCCTCCCGACGAGGGGAAGAGGGCATCAACAATCCTCTCCAAGGCCCGGGGTTCCAAAAAGTCCACAGCCGGGGGCGCCCGTCGTAGCTTCCCGGTTATCATTTTATAAGGGCGCCCCCATGGGTTCCTGTCTAGGGAGGACAGAAGGTCCGCCCATGCCCGGGCCTTAGCCTCCCGGATTGCAGCCTGAAATGCCAAGACTCGGGTCCTATATTCATTATACAGCACCCTCTCCCCCTCCAAATCTCTCGTGGCTCTACGACCCGGGTCCTATATTCATTATATAGAACCTTCTCCCCCTCCAAATCTCTGGTATCTCTCGGACGGGACCTGAGAAAACACCGGCGGGCCCGGGAGCACTCCCCCCTCATCTCGGCAAGCTCCCGGGACCACCAATATACCGCCCCTTGGCGGGAGGGGGGGGGGCCAGCCCAAGGCATAGCGACACTACACGCACGTGCCACGCACCGGACCAGCTACCCCGCCTCCCTCTCCACGTCCGTAATCGGTCCCGTCGGAGTAGCCCCCCAACAGCCCGCGAGCAGAGCAGTCCGGAGGCGATCCTCGTCTAGCCGCCCCTGGCACCACACCCCGCCCCCCGCCCGGGGACCAGAGGGACGACGATGCCCCCCACCAGGAGGGGGAACCAACCTCATTGTGATGTAACGGTGGTCCGAGAGGGTTTCAAGCCCCTCGACCACCGCCCACCCCTCAATCCCGCAGGCGGCGGCAGCGCTGGCCCAGGTTAGGTCCACCACAGACTCACCCTGCCACCCATCGAACGTACTAACCCCCCCCCCCTCCTCGGTTAAGAAGCACCAGCCCCAGGGCGGCCGCCCAGTCAAGGACCGCCACACCCCTAGCATTCTTCCGAGCGGCTCCCCAGCGTGGGGAGGACGCATTGAAATCCCCTGCGACAATGACTGGACCGCGAGAGCGACGTGACACCATCGCCCCCACACGGTCCAGCAAGCCTTCAGATTGTTCCAGGGGGCGGCTTAGGGGAGCATAGAGCCCCACCACCGAGACCGTCCCCCCGTCCACCATGACATAGTCCTCCCCCCTATGAATGGTTGTTAGGGGGGGTGCACCCCTCCCTCGAACTATCGCCACCGCCCCCCCCCCTGCTGGCCACCCAGTCCGAGTGGGCGGGAACAGCATAGGTTTCGGCAGCGATACCCAATCCCACTTTCATGCCCGCCATGCTCTGGATAAATAGGTCCTGAGCACGGCGGGCATGATTTAAGTTAACCTGCAGCACCAATTCCTGGGCCATAAGCAGGCAGTAGCCTCCATCGGGGCAACATCCCCACCCTCCCGTGCCGCCGCCCTCACCTCATTGGGTGGGTGCTCCGCAGCAGCCGTGGGGCGCTCGGCCGCCCCCCTCTTTCCTTCCCCTCTCTTAGGGGCGATGCACCCCTTTCCCCCTAGTCTATGCGGCGCAGGACTCCCTCTATCCGCACACACAGTGCAGAAAGCCTCAGCCGTGCAACGATTTGCCCGGTGTCCCTCTTGCCCGCACACGTAACAGCACCCGGACCTATCCCGGACGCTCCAACATGCGTCCCTTACGTGTCCGAATTCCAGGCACCGGAAGCATTGGAGCGGACGTGCCGGAAGGGCATCGACTCTCGCCGAGACCCAACCAACCCTTATCCGCCCCTCCGCCACCAGCTTCCTGGCGCACGACGCAGTGCACCGCGCCCACACCGTCCCCATTCCCCCATCAGTACGCCTGATGGCCCCAACCCTGATGGATTGGGGTTCCCCACCACCCACTTTGTGGATGGCACCCCTAACCTCTTCTGTCGAGCACGAGTCATCGAGGTCCCTAACCCTAATCTCCGCCATCTTTACCGGGCGGAGTATCCTCGCGTCATTTCCAATCACCTCTTTAAGCCTAGTGGCTAGCCTGTCCGCTTTTTCAGCCCCTTCAGGGCTAGTGATTTCGAGAACAAGTCCCGCCGTTGCCGCCCTTCTCGATCGTACACCGGCAATCCCCATTTCCTCAAGAGAGATGCTGCACTTCGCTTTGGCAAGCGCCTCAGCGTAAGTGCCCCCTCCCTTCCTAGGGAGCGTAATGCTCACTGCCGCAGAACGGGGGGGGGGG